TTGTGTGTTACTTGATATTTTATAATATTAATACTTAACTTGGAAAACGTATTATAAAATTATCATTATAAAATTTATAATTATATTAGTAGCATACTGGACGTAAAATTAAATATTACGATAGATTTTATTTGAAATTATAGTTTGAATTTAAAGGTGCCACATCATTGCCGAAATAAACTATCGCTTTTTTTTGTGACTGTATTTACAGCTTCACCTGGCTTAAGGTGGCAGATCGCAGATGGCGCTTAGCCTGAACCTCGAGAACTATCGCATACCCAAATAACTATATGAAGGGCTCTAGCTTTTGAAAAATGTTTAATCGGAAGCCCTCAAGGCCTCATAGAAGATATTAGGGAACTCCTTCCAATAGTAAACTGACACGAGCCTATTTTAAATATGAACTGGGCCGTCTTAAACCGTGTGTATAACATTGGTGCGCCCAACAATGTACGTACTTTTAGTCGCACACAAACTATAATAATTTTAGAAGACAAACGGCGCTAATGACGAGTCTGATTTAATTTAATAGTATATTGGGTAAAATTGTGGGACATAGTAAGTATAAAATAAAACAGTTGTCGGTAGCATTGCGACAGAAAGCGATAGACGACAGCGTATCGCGGTGTCGCCCCGGCGCGGCGTGGCGTTTGGAAGCAGCGCAGATAACGTGAACAAACATTGTAAAAATGCCAAAATACAAGATAACACACATAATAAATGGATGCTTAATGGTAGCTCTGACTCTTTGTGTACTGTACATTATCAGTTAAAAAAAATTCAGACAATTTTAATCGAAAAAAATCAGATAAAACATGTAAATCAGTGTAAAATATTGAATCGATCAGTATACCGGCATTCACTTTCGAAAAAAAACTCTTAATGCCTTAACCAATTAAACATTATCTTTTGAATGTACTCAATTAAAGCTAAACTTTCCTTAAAGTTCCCTATAATTGAGAGTCACCTAGCAATCTCAAAGTGTAATATTAATTACTTCAGATATCGGGCATATGACATTTCATTCATACAAAGGCTGCATCACCACATTGACCTCCCGGAGGGTCTGTCCGGAGATGTGTCACCCGCAACGACCGACCATCGGTTATCAAACGCATGTCAAATGCACTACTAAATATTGATAAACTGCAATACAACGAACTAAATTCCAATGGAATTGTTTAGCTAGAAATACATCCTACTATTATTATAAATGCGAATGTTTAGATGGATGGATGTTTGTTAGAAGTTATCTCCGGAACGGCTGCATGGATCTCTGAAATTTGGCATACATATAGAACATAGTCTGGAAGGACACATAGGCTACTAATTAAGTATGTTTTTAAACTCGCGCGGACGGAGTCGCGGACAACTATTGGTACTATATATTTAAACGATAGAGAAGCAAAACTGGTTCCAAATTAAGAAAAAACAAGTCAACTCAGAAGTTGTAGTTGTTGCGATTTTAGAGAGAGTATTTTTATAAGCGTCATGCCCATTTTACTGTAAAATTCTTCAGCCTCATCGCTCTCTTTTAATACATATGTGCTGATATCTGTTTTATAGAATGACAAAGGTTTGCTTTAATGAAAATTTGTTTTTAAACAAGTATTACGTCGAAGGACACCCTCAAATGACATCATACAGATTGTATATAAATTAATTGCAGATTATTATACAGCATCAAAAATATCTTTTTATTTAAGATATAATAATATTCAAACGTTAAACAGACATTTCGCTTTAAATGAAAACGCTAGCGCCATTTTTCAATACTAATGACCTGACCTGTCTCCTCCTATTCACAGCTGTAGCGAACATCTATTCTTTGCTGAAATAAAGTGGACTTGGGCAAGATGAAATGTTTCGTGTTCGTGTATTTAATTGCATTGGTGTTATACTTAGGCTCTATCACTTTAAGTAAACAAATGGTAGACACTGATTTACCGTGGGTTTCTGAGACCAAAATCCGTTAAAAACAAATTGTTATTTCTCTTGTGTCAAAGATAATGACAGGGATGCCTATTTTATACAGAGATTTTTGAACTCGGAAGCCAACTCATTAATACATTTAATTCCTAAAGAAATCATATTTAAATTAAATTAAAACCCGATACTTTGTTTTTACTAATTTGCAATATTATTCGCCAATTTTTTTTTACTTCAGATTAATATTATAAATACGAAAGTTTAGATAAATGGATAGATGTTTGTTATTACGCTCTCCAGAACAGCTCAGATCTAACTGAAATTTGGCATAGATGTAAAACTTTTAATGATAAATGATGATAAAGATGTAGAATTTATTTTATAATTATTCGCGGATGCAGTTGCGGGCGACAGCTAGTTATGCAATGCAAATAGAATACGCTTGAATGTATGGTGTTCAAATATTAAACGTGTTGGTCAAATAACTGACAGACTTTACTTTTGTGGTAACCGTCATAAAATTAATCCACTATAGTGAAGTTAAAAACATACACAAAAACAATACTCATTCGTCCAAAACATATTTATCTACTGTTTACCTATTTGTCAGTCTGTACATGTAAACGTGAACGATAAATGCAATACTTTGATAGTTTTGATTACGTTATCACTATTAATTAAGATTTATTTATTTAACCTTTATCGGTTTTTACAAAAAAAAAAAACGTAACTACAAGATCCGTCAACAAATGACTGATACTCAACATTAACCGTTAACAACAATCGATAAAGTAAATATCGTTAATGGCAACTCAACGAATTGGATATGCTTCAAGAAATTATATTAAACGCATATGCAATTGCGTTTATCTATGGGCAACGGTCACTTCGCTATTTCAGCGATTTCAGGTGGCCGCTCCCTCGTTTGCCACCTTATGATATAAAAAAAAATGCGAATGTGTAGATGGATGGAACGGCTGCATGGAACTCGCTGTAATTTAGCATCGATGTAGAACATAAACTGGAAGAACACACAGGCTACCAATAAAGTTTTTTTAGTTTCGCGCGGACGGAGCCGCGGGCGACAACTAGTACACCATATACGTTGAAGTTATAAATTCAAAGCAATCTTACTAATATTACTAATGCGAATGTTTAAATGTATGTATGGATGGATGGATGTTAGAAGGTATTTCACGCATCAACGGATCTCGGCAAAATTCCCAATAGATGAAGAACATAGTCTGGAAGAACACACAGGATTCAAAGTTTTTCTTAATACCGCTCGAACAGAGTCGCGGTCGAATGCTAGTATACTAATATTTCGTCTGTAGTCGTAAAAGCATTATAGAAATAAACATAACTATAACAAAAACTTTACAAGTCTCGGAGTAACAGTGTAATAAAGACTTAAAAATCTCATTGGTCTCTTGGTTTCATGTATATTATTATGCAAATTTGCGTCTCTATCTGCCATTTTTGTTATGCGCTGTCTGGAGTACAACCTATATTAAAATACTCGCGTACAATGTACCGAGGAGAAAATATTGTGCATACAAAATGCATTTACATAAATTTGATACACTAGGGGCAAAGAATACATAAAATAACGGACATATCCACAAAACTTGTATAGAAAAGTATAAATTGACAGTCTTTTGTTTTGAATTTAATCATAAACGTGTATGTTGTATTTGTGTGTTTCCACTATCAAAAGACTTGTTTATAATATCTGAGAATCAATAGTTTACGAGAAAAATAAGATTAAAGTTGAAAAAAGCATGCAACGATTGTTTCGAATGAAAAAAAATATTTTGCGACTGTGAGTGTCAGTGTCGGTGGCATAGTCAAGATTGAGGAATTAAAATCCGAAACATCGAGCAGCATGCGTACTTGGATAAAAGATATCTTTTGCCCGTAACTCAGTCCGAGCGTAATTAAAAAAAACATATTAGTTGCCTATATTGTCTTCCAGAATATGTTTTACACCTATGCTAAGTTTCAGCGAGATCCATGCATTTATTCTGGAGATAGCTTCTAAGAAATATCCATCCATCTTTTCATACCTCCGAACCTTTACATTTATGTAAGAAGTAAGATGAGCGATGAGTTGTATTAAGACCGATTCTCTGACTCTACCAACCACTCCGGGTCACCGGCATGAATCATGTTCTTATTCAGAACATACCTTAAGTTACTGCTGTTGTTTTTTTTTCAGATTCATATATCATATTTTCCTCACTTGTGTAAGTAATCCAAACTTTTTTCATAATTTTTTTTTTACAAATAATACGGCGATTTACATTTCTAACCTTCATTAGTATTTCTAGCGTTAAGAAATTGTTACATAATATTAAAGTTATTATTATATCATATTATTAGGCTTGAGGAATTAATTTTGTGACATTGGAAACGTTAAAGATTAAAATTAACGTAACTTTTACTGCACTATAAGTCACTTTTAACGAATTATTTTGTTATGAACAAGTTGCGGATGTAAAGAAGGTATATTTATAAACTTGAGTATTTACACTTGGGCCTACTTATTTGGTAGTGCATTTTATTCTATAATTAGTTCACCTCTTTAAAACTTAATATCACGAGCTGTGATCTTGACGTGGTAGGTAGGTAATTTGACATTTTTAGTCGAAGTTGTTATTCACCTTATTTTAATTGTTAAATACGAATCTAACGCGCATTTATTTAAGAAATTACTTCGATATTTCATCATACTATAAGAAACAAACAAGTGGAAGAAGTCATAGCTGACCAGTAAAACTTTAAACATATAATAGAGACACGTAATAAAACGACTGAACACAAGAGAACACAACACAACTGCGTAGATATGTACGGATTATACCAACACATGTTGATGTAAAGTCTTGTGTTTGTGATCGTCCATTGCGTGCATCATAACGTCAAATTTCGTTTATACTTTCCCACTTATTTATAATTTGAATGCGATAAACATGCCAGGAGTGTTGGATAATCAACAGGTCGAAAACATAGTAATTAAAGTACATTTTTGTGGACAATGTGTAATGTAAATCAGCCGGTGTCATACTTACAGATAACGTTCCACCGTTTCGACCGAAGAGGTTAACAACACAAATGTTATCCGTCAACAAAAACACAGGAGATGCGGTGCAAGCGTGTTGCACACTGGGGCCGTTAACCCGGCACCGGCGGCGGGCTGCGTTTCGAAAACTTCGCGTCGGAGCGTTTAGTGAATATTCAAAAATAGACCGAGTGTGCGTTGGACACGCGCAACGGTGCATGTAGCGTCGCTCGCGGACGCCGGGACACGTCGCGAATCGACAACGGGAGCGGACTATGAGCGCGGCCGACGGAACACAGCGAAAATTTGCGTTGAAAAGTTTCCAATGGATCAAAGTTGGGATCGCGAGTTGGGCCCGACGCGGCGACAGCGCGACAGCCCCGCGACGATCGGAACACGACTGGCGTCCGAACGCCGCCGCCGACCGCGCTCCGCCGCGCCTCGCGCCTCGCGCCGCACGCCGCGCGACACCCACACGCCGGCGCGCGCACGCACACACGCGCTGCACGCTCCACGCACGGCACACACAAGCGCACGCCGCTACCACACATGCACCACGCGACTGATAAACAGATCAAAAACACAACACCACAATGCACTGCACTGCACTTATAAACACACCCCAGCGTCCTGATATAGCCGTGCGGTTAGTGTTGAGTACAATAGATATCTATAGCTGGTAAGATATCGCTGACCATGTAGTGGCCACGTAAATCCACTGAGCACTGACGGCGTAACATTAGTAAGTTGGAGCTATCTAACCTCATCGACGACACTCTATGACCAGGTTAAAAGTTATGGATCGAGATAAGAAATTAGCAAAAGGAATATTCCGAATGAATTATGAATGTAGTCTCACAACTTCTCTTATCTTTAATGAATGTTTATTTCTTGAATAAACTTACTTAATAATGCGGTTTGTTTGCTAAAAACTAAACAGTAGTACAGGAATACATTATAAATGTTGGAATGATAAAATTTTATCATTTGAGTAAAGTAGTACTGTACAAAAAAAATGAACGAATAGACTTAGAATATTTATGTTTCTCATAGAACTTCCGATACGTCATTTACCATATATACCATACGAGTATACTATATCGACTAAATTAAAACAGAAATTTTTATCAAAAATGTAATAGATATATCAAGAAAGCTTTATAGCAATGATTTTGTACATAATTTATATACCAGAAAACCTTGTAATACATCGAACGTCAATGTAGTGTAGAGCGGGAGACATAGACAACGAAACGAACGTCAGCATACTTTGATTATTAGGGCACAGGATCTGTCCATCGCGCGCATTGTCCTGTGTCATATGATAATGAATTATAATGCGGCAAACATACGTACAGAACATGAGACAAACATACGTATAGAAAATAAGATAAAGAAATAGTACAGGACAGTAAGAATATATGACACTTTTTTGACATTGACACAGGGGCGCTAGTGAGCTAAGATAATTTAGTTTGACTTATGTTTATGGGGTCAGACAACTTTGTTGCTGTATATAAGCTCTAAACTTGCTCATTGCTCATTTAGTGTGTATCAGTTTTTGTGTCAGTACTCTGTCCTTAAAGATGTTACAATTATACATGTCGGCTTGATATGCAACTATATGATTGTCATCTTTACTTCACATCTGACAAATGTAGCACTAAGCATGATACCGCAGCGCGGCGGCTCGTCTAGTCCTTTTCTCTATAGTCAAAGTCAATATACGAATGCACATGGCTATGAGTCGTACGAGGTGCGAGTGCAACACGCAATACGCAATGGCCGAAGGCGTATATACTTTGTAGCACACATCAGTAGGGCCGTCTCTTCAATTTATTATAAAAATCCGTAAGTATCCAAAAATAAGGTTAATCGTAGGGCTGTCACAAATTACACAAACCTGCAAAAAATCGTCTTCAAAGAGACTTCATAAATATATATAGATTTTATCGTCCAGAATCTATTTCTGTTAATTGTGTTATGTTTTTTTTTTCAATTATATTTTGTCATGTTCGTTTTTTTGACTTGATCTTCAAGTTCATCAAAAAAACCTAATTTTCTTGCCAAGCACGATTTCTAGGAATAACTTCCTACTAACGTATAGCCTAATGAGAATGTTTTGATAACTTCATTTTAGACTAGCGGTTGTTCGCGGATTCGCGTGACGAAATAAATTTCTCAAAATAACTTTCTTCATTTTCACCTCCGTTAAAGTTTACGAAACTTTTAGAATATTTTTTGCTATTGTTTCAAAAGTTAACCTAGTAATCAAAATTAATAGAATACTTTTGGCTATTTTTAGATGAAGAAAGTAACGACTGTGAAAAACGTTAATTAACTTTCTTTGAAATAACAATTTGACCTTTACCTTTGTTAATTACAAAGGGTATTAATTAAAAAGGAATTACTTCGAAAAAACGTAAAAAATTACTTACATGTAGCCCCTATTTTTCGAACTCGGAAATTACCTGAAACAAAAACTGAAAATATTTTTTTAAATGAAGATTATTTTGTCACTGCTTTTGCTACTTTGTATTTTCGCTGTACAATAAACTATATTAGGTTAAATAAAAAAATATTCTCTATTTTTGTAAATATAATTTGAGTAAGCGATATAATTTACATATGTATAAGTTTTCAGACATAGCTATTTCTTTGCAAATAAGTTTAGCTAAAGAAATCCCAATAGAAATAGCAACAAAGCCTGTTAGTACATAGAAAGTTCTCTACAATAGGACGTATGAAGTTTTACTCTCTTGATACGATTTCAAATAGAATAGAATAGATGTTTATTTTTATCTATTCAAATAGGAAATATTTAATTCCTTTTAATATTAGATACTAAACACATAAGAATTAATACCGAAAATATTTATTGCGTTTATATTGATAGAGTAGGCGAAATGACTTTATTTTAATAGGAAATCAAAAATGTTGTCCTTACTACAAGTATCAGGCTTAAACAACTGTACAAAATATATTGTTTCCTCTTTCATTCTCTTTTTAGAAAAATAGTAAAGGCGACAGAAAATATGAAGAAAGGAAATGAGCTGTTGGATTTTGATATACTTTGGAAAATGATATTATTAAGTCAAAAGAGAAACTAAAAATATAAAATAGAATAAGGAAATAAGATTAGCACGCACTGTTTGTTTGATTATATATTTACAACTGGTATTTTGAATATCAAAAAAGGAAGAAAAAATCCATATTACTCTAAATATAAAATATAAAAATTATAAGTAAAAAGTATAAAGAGGTTCCGTATGTGTCGGCAACAAATAGAAATAACTATATGTATTTAAGCACATGACATAACTATCATATATTTGCATATGCATTTGAAGTATACAAATAGTAAATTCCTAACTTGTATATCATAATTTTCTCTACATTTCCCAAACTCTAAGATGCAAATAACTTAAAGTAAAAGTCAACGAACATTGGCAAGTTGCCAACAAACAATGTATCGCATATTTTACTAAATATCAATAAAGGATGAAAGGATAAAGTTATGCCTAGAATGATAGATAGGGTTTCTCTCAAAGTAAAGCCGGAATCAATATGAGAGCACTTGTGTATTGAGCAAGATTGTGCCTTTGAATAGGCCAATATTACGCTTACTATCGATCTTACTAACCAATTTCAATTACATTCTATTAATTCTGTTTGTATCGTGGCCGTTCATTTATAATGTAGACGCGTCATGGGAACAATAACCCATTTGATAGGTCACAACGTACGAACTCAAGTAAATCTTATAGATATATATAAAATTCTGATGTCACAATTTTCGTCCCCATACTCCTCCGAAACGGCTTGACCGATTCTCATGAAATTTTGTGAGCATATTGCGTAGGTCTGAGAATCGGCCAACATCTATTTGTAATCCCGCGCGGACGGAGTCACGGGCGACAGCTAGTAGGTATATAAAATTCTCGTGTCATAATGTTAGTTACAATACTCATCTGAAACAGCTTGGCCGATTTTTATGAAATTTTAAACACATATTCAGTAGGTCTGTGAATCGGTTACTATCATTTTTAATCCCGCGCGGACGGAGTCGCGGGCGACAGCTAGTATTGTTATATTAATCGACTTGAACTCAAAATACGTTATAGTATGTATGTAGATAAATGAAAAGTATTTTTACATTAATTAACATAAATTAAATTTGTAAATAAAAAGTAAATGTATAAAAAAATAAGAGCAGAACGACTACTCTCAACTCTACCTCTGCTTAATTTTGTTTATTTCAATTATTAATAACAACTTTAACTTTCTACACGAGTTTTATTTAAACTTCTAAATACGCCAAGTAATATGATTTTTGAGCCAAAAATTTTACGAAAAGGATTTTGTTGGGTAGAAAAATTGCAGAATATGTTGTACAGCTACTTTAGTTAATAGAATATTTAATGAAAGCATATTTTAAAAAACAATTTTATATCAGTTTCTTGGCAAGAATACGGCAGCTAAATCAGACGTGGACGTATCTAGGTTTTAAATATAGGTCAAAGTTAACCAATGTATAATTTTGTAAATTTTACTTTTTTTTTCTACTGCAGAAAAGATAAAAGTACTGCCAAGATCAGCGGATAGAGAATAAGTACAGGTCAGAGATGTTGGCAGTGGCTATATCGTATATCAAATGAGGCAAGGAGCCAAGCTTGTCAACAATCTCTATCAGAAAAGGATTAGTAATGTAATGCTTTAATTATCGATAACGTTTCTATTCATGGACGCGTTTGGGACAAATACGTACAAATAGCGATCTGTGATACGCAAACATTTCAAAGGTAAAGATAGGAATATATGTTTGGGCAAAAAATAAACTATCAAACGTACAGCCAAAACTGCTGGGTATAGAGCCATGAAAATTTGCGTAGAGGTTTATATGTTAGTAGCAGTTCGTCTGCGCGGAATTAAAAAAAAAAAACTTAAATAGTGTCCTATGTGTTCTAGACTATGCTTTCCATCTACGCTAAATTTATCGAGATTCGTTGAGCCGTTTTGGAGATACCGTATTACAAACTTTCATCTATCCATCCAAACATTTACATTACGAAGGGGACCACTAAGAAAATATTTTACGATATTCATCCCTATATGTGAAGAAAAACGCTTTTAAGCCTAAATTATTAACATTTTAGACTTTTTTCCACACGGACATAGGAGTAGGAATCAGCTCTACCGACCTCTAAAAGGTTAAATAAAAATAACATTTCGTTTCAATGATAATTTTAGTACAAACGTGTCCGATATTTCTTCGAATGGTCATTATATTAGTATTCTACTTTATTTATAACAGTTCCGTTTTAAAAATTGTTTCGCTGTTTGTTATCAATTTATTATCAACAACCTGTTTTATACAATAAATTTTA